TTTAAAGGGATGCAGACCCTGCCACTTTCCTCATTAGAGCCCTGCAGGTGCAGCAGGTGCAGCAGCTGATAATTATGAAGTCACTCCCATTCACATTCACTCTGCACATGGACATGGGGAAACAAACAGCTATTTCTTCAGAATAACAAAGGTAGAAATCTGCAACACAGTTTGTTGAAATCCCTGCAATGTGTCAAGATCACCCAGAGGGGGCGGGGTTTCATTCTCTGAAAAAAATGGAGATACTCTTTAAACTTTGGGTGTCTTTGTTTCTAGGTTACTTTTTTGTGTGAATAATTGGAGGTACTATGTACCCATTACTAATCCTCATTGTGGGATGGTATCTGAAGGCTCCCTTTTTATTAAAGGGGGCTCTGAGATTCCTAAAAGTCCCTGCTCACAGACCCCCACAGCCACCGGGCCAGGTTGTGGGGAAGAGTCCCTGGTCCTCATCAACATGGGGTCAAGGTGCTTTATTGAAGCAGTCCTGCCTGACAAGGCACCATCCCATGTTGAGTGCATGCAGCCTAGTAAGGTTCCAAGGGAGGGGTGCAAGCTGGTCACCCCATTTCCTGCATACTCTGATTAAAGGTCTGGTAGGGATTTTTAGGGGAATTTCACATAATTTTTTTTTGTTTTTGTGCATGGATCCCCCTTTAAATCTACACCAGATTCACAGGGTCTGGTATGCATATTTGTTTTTCTTTGGGGGGGGGGGGGGGGGGTTCTATGCAAAGTGTGTAGGATGTGCTACAGAAAAAGTGACCTTTACAAAGAAAACAAATGACTGCCAGCAAATGACATTTCATTGCCAGCTGCTTTAGAAAATAAAACAGCACGCGGACCTCTCCAAAAATACATGTTCCCCCAAGTAGTGCCTTCCCCTCATGGCATTTTTTTTTTTTTTTTTTTTAAACTCCCCTGTCTATTAGACCAGAAAATGGGCATTTTTTGGTGAGACAGATTTGATTCCCATTGATTTCAATGCAGTTTAGGTTTGGCACCCAAACATCTTTGAATTCCTCTGCCCCCCCCCAAGGATGATCAGATCCTGCTTTGTGTTCCCAATCGAGGGCAGCATCTAATGTGTGTTCCCATTGGAGGGCATCACATGCTGTGTGTTCCCATTGGAGGGCATCACATGCTGTGTGTTCCCATTGGAGGGCATCACATGCTGTGTGTTCCCATTGGAGGGCATCACATGCTGTGTGTTCCCATTGGAGGGCATCACATGCTGTGTGTTCCCATTGGAGGGCATCACAACTGTGTGTTCCCATTGGAGGGCAGTATCTGCTGTGTGTTCCCATTGGAGGGCAGTATCTGCTGTGTGTTCCCATTGGAGAGCAGTATCTGCTGTGTGTTCCCAATAGAGGGCGGCACCCGCTGTGTGTTCCCAATAGAGGGCGGCACCCGCTGTGTGTTCCCAATAGAGGGCGGCACCCGCTGTGTGTTCCCAATAGAGGGCGGCACCCGCTGTGTGTGTTCCCAATAGAGGGCGGCACCCCCGCTGCTGTGTGTGTTCCCAATAGAGGGCGGCACCCGCTGTGTGTGTTCCCAATAGAGGGCGGCACCCGCTGTGTGTGTTCCCAATAGAGGGCGGCACCCGCTGTGTGTGTTCCCAATAGAGGGCGGCACCCGCTGTGTGTGTTCCCAATAGGGGGCGGCACCCGCTGTGTGTGTTCCCATTAGGGGGCGGCACCCGCTGTGTGTGTTCCCATTAGGGGGCGGCACCCGCTGTGTGTGTTCCCATTAGGGGGCGGCACCCGCTGTGTGTGTTCCCATTAGGGGGCGGCACCCGCTGTGTGTGTTCCCATTAGGGGGCGGCACCCGCTGTGTGTGTTCCCATTAGGGGGCGGCACCCGCTGTGTGTGTTCCCATTAGGGGGCGGCACCCGCTGTGTGTGTTCCCATTAGGGGGCGGCACCCGCTGTGTGTGTTTCCATTTAGAGGGCGACACTTGCTGTGTGTTTCCATTAGAGGACAGCACTTGCTGTGTGTTTCCATTAGAGGTTAGCACCCAATTTGTGTTTCCATTAGAGGGCGGCACTTGCTGTGTGTTTCCATTAGAGGGCGACACTTGCTGTGTTTTTCCATTAGAGGGCAGCACCTGCCGTGTATTACCTCAGGAGGTCTGGCAGGCTAGATATACAGAATAAGGGAGGAGAAGCAGACATTTCAGCAATTCTGTTGTAACTTTTGGAAAGTAATTTCTCCATAGTGCCTATAGCTATAGATGTAAATGAGGATTTCTTTGGCATCTTTGTAAATATTTTATTTCTTCTAATCCGGTGGGTAAAGGTTTTACTTTGAAAGTTCAATCGTACAATACAACTGCAGCACTAAAAATAATAAATGGAAATGAAAACAGGAAAAACCCGTGTATGTGGATATATATTTGTCTGTGTGTATACACTTAGAAGGAAGACTCTGAGAACCCATCAGATCTCAATGGGGAGGAATCTCCTGCTGGATCTCTATACTGACATGGACGGGGGATGAATGAGGAATGTAAGGACGCCCCATCATTGGATGGAAATGGAAATGATGCAGCAGGCGAGTCCATTGTGCTGAAATGTCATTGCAGCAACTCAGAATGGCCCTCAGTAGTCTGTGTGGCCCCCATGTGCTTGTATGCATGCCTGAGAACATCGGGGAGGGTCCTAATGAGACCACGGATGGTGTCCTGGGGGATTTCCTCCCAGATCTTGACCAAGGCATCACTGAGCTTCTGGACAGTCTGAGGTGCAACCTGGTGGCGTCGGATGGACCGAAACATGACATCCCAGAGGTGTTCTATTGGATTTAGGTCAGGCGAGTGTGGGGGCCATTCAATGGTATCAATTTCTTCATTCCTTCAATTGCCTGCATACTCTCCCCACATGAGGTCGGGCATTATTGTGCACCAGGAGGAACCCAGGACCCACTGCACCAGGAGGAACCCAGGACCCACTGCACCAGGAGGAACCCAGGACCCACTGCACCAGGAGGAACCCAGGACCCAATGCACCAGCGTAGGGTCTGACAATGGGTCCAAGGATTTCATCCCCATACCTAATGGCAGTTAGGGAGCCATTGCCTAGCCTGTAGAGGTGTGTGTGTCCCTCCATGGAGATGCCTCCCCAGACCATCACTGACCCACCACCAAAACGGTCATGCTGAACCATGTTACAGGCAACATAATGTTCTCCACGGACACTGGGGGAGTGATCTTATAGTGGTCTATGAGGACATAAATAATGTGACACTACTGAGTGACAGAAAAAAACATGCACCATACATGACCAGCCAGTGCCTGAATGTGATACACACTATATTGACAAAAGTATTGGGCCAGCCCTCCAAATCATTGGATTCAGGTGTTCCAATCATGTCAAATGACAGGGCGGAGTCAGCGTATGCTGAAGCGCACAGTGCGCAGAAGTTGCCAACTGTCTGCAGAGTCAATAGCTAAAGACCTCCAAACTTGGTGTGGCCTTCAGATGAGCCCAACAACAGTGTGTAGAGAGCTTCATGGAATGGGTTTCCATGGCCGAGCAGCTGCATCCAAGCCTTCCATCACCAAGTGCAATGCAAAGCGTCGGATGCCGTGGTGTAAAGCACGCCGCCACTGGACTCATGGAGCATGGAGACGTGTTCTCTGGAGTGACAAATCACACTTCTCTGTCTGGAAATCCGATGGATGTGTCTGGGTTTGGTGGTTGCCAGGAAACGGTACTTGCCTGACTGCATTGGCCAAGTGTAAAGTTTGGTGGAGGGCGAATTATGGTGTGGGGTTGTTTTTCAGGGGTTGGGCTTGGCCCCCTAGTTCCAGTGAAAGGAGCTCTTAAGGCGTAATCATACCGAGTAATTTTGGACAATTTCATGCATCCAACTTTGTGGGAGGAGTTTGGGGACGGCCCCTTTCTGTTCCAACATGACTGCCCACCAGTGCACAAAGCAAGGTCCATAAAGACATGGAGGAGCCAGTTTGGGGTGGAAGAACTTGACTGTCCTGCACAGAGTCCTGACCTCAACCCCTTAGAAAACCTTTGGGATGAATTAGAGCAGAAACTGCGAGTCAGGCCTCCTCCCTCGACATCAGTGCCTGACCTGACAAATGTGCTTCTGGAAGAATGGTCCAACCTTCCCATAGACACCCTCCTAAACCTTGTGGACGGCCTTCCCAGAAGAGTTGAAGCTGTTATAGCTGCAAAGGGCGGGGCCAACTCAATATTGAACCCTATGGACTAAGACTGGGAGGCCATTAAAGTTTATGTGCGTGGAAAGGGCGGGGCCAACTCAATATTGAACCCTATGGACCCTATACACTATACTTTTGGCAGTATAGTGTATGTTTTCCAGAGCATGCCAGAAGCCCCGGACTTCCAATGCTCTACATTTCAGAGCTGTTTCCAAAATTATGAGATTTCCTCATTGAGTAATAGAAAGGTGGTGGGAATGGAAAAGAATGGGTCCAGATTCTATAGATTTTTATAATAAAGTGCTCTGGGCTTCCTCAACTTTCTGGAGGACAGCTCATGGTGGTTCTAATCATATCTGCCGCTGCTTCATCACTGTTAGTGGAAGCACAGGTAGGCGTTAATTGCTGAATCTTACATGCTATAGACATATTACATGATCTAGGGTTGCATGGGAAGCTGGGAAGTGCCTACATTCAGTCTCTGCTGGGTCATCTACTGAAGAGGTTTGTTTAAAGGTATGACTATGGGCAGTCACTGAGGAGCAGTGGGTGGCAGTGTGAGAGCGTATCCCCATCCTCGCTTTTTGTTTGACCTAGCTGGTAGATAATTAGCAGAGGTGGGGTTTAGTTGATTTATGACTTGAAGGCTGGAGATAGATTGTAGACATTTTGAGGAACCCCCATCACAAGGCACTCCATGTCCCAGAATGACTAGCAAGATAAATTTTGTTCTGTTAGCTGATTTTCCATCACAGCAGTATGGTAAAGGACAAATGAGGCGATGGAGATATCAGGAGATGTCTGATGGTCATCATTGCAGGTCACAATGTCTTCTTCTCACAGATGTATTGGTAACTTTGGGAGCAGGGAAGAGAGCGCCAGCCCTCTCCATATTCCAACAAACCACACCATTCTCCATGTCTATACCAGGGATAAGGATAACCCTCTTTCCAGAACCTGCCAGGAAAAAAAATAACATTAGTAACCAGGCCAGCGGTGAAATTGACCAGAACTGATGGAAAAGCTTACAGTAGATGGCCAAAGACGGGAGCAGTTGACTCTTAAAGCCTAAAACTATTTTAAGTAAAAGGTTCAACATCTGCACATGAAAGAGGACATTTTACATTGTTTTTTGTTTATTGTAGGTAATGTGAGAAGGAAGAAGATCGGCATCTTACTTTGGAGATCTCTCATAAGATGTGCTGTCCACCCACTTCCAGATTCCCTTCTCAGTTGAAAGACCGAACCACAAACTCTGTGACTGTGAAATGTTCCGAAGAAAATTCTAAAAAAATAAACAGAAAAACAGTCATTAAACATATTTTTATATATAGTCACAAGAAGAGCTTACACTCTAAACCCCCCCACCCTTCCCACAGTCACACACTATTATTATTATACACTTATATAGCTCTGACATAGACCGCAGTGCTGTACAGAAGACACTGAGCCAGTCACATCAGTCTCTGTACAGAGGAGCTTACACTCTAATGTCCCCTCCCCCACAGTGACATCAGTCTCTGTACCAAAGGAGCTTACACTCTAATGTCCCCTCCCCCACAGTACCATCAGTCTATGTACCAGAGGAGCTTATACTCTAATGTCCCCTCCCCCACAGTCACATCAGTCTATGTACCAGAGGAGCTTACACTCTAATGTCTCCTCCCCTGCAGTCTTTTCAGTCTCTGTACTAGAGGAGCTTACACTCTAATGTCCCCTCCCCCCCCAGGCATCACGCACTACTATTATATACATTTATATAGCTCTGACATATACCGCAGCGCTGTAAAGAGAGCCCTTCCCCAGTCTTGGGGTTCTATCTGTTGCTACTTTGTTTAATCTTTCTGTGTATTGATGGGTAGAATGTCCCTCTTAGCCTTTTTGCCCATGTTTTGGTGTTCCATCTGTGACTACGCTGTTCGGTCTTGTTTTGTATTTATGGAGAGTGGGTGGAATGTCTATTTCAGTCGTTCTGCCCCAGCCTTGAGGTCCCTTCTTTGGCTGTGTTGTCTAGTCTTGTGTATTGATGGATGGTGGGCAGAATGTCTCTCCTAGTGTCTGTCCCAGCCTTGAGGTCCCTTCTTTGACTGTGTTGTCTAGTCTTGTGTATTGATGGATGGTGGGCAGAATGTCTCTCCTAGTGTTTCTGCCCCAGCCTTGAGGTCCCTTCTTTGACTGTGTTGTCTAGTCTTGTGTATTGATGGATGGTGGGCAGAATGTCTCTCCTAGTGTTTCTGCCCCAGCCTTGAGGTCCCTTCTTTGGCTGTGTTGTCTAGTCTTGTGTATTGATGGATGGTGGGCAGAATGTCTCTCCTAGTGTTTCTTCCCCAGCCTTGAGGTCCCTTCTTTGGCTGTGTTGTCTAGTCTTGTGTATTGATGGATGGTGGGCAGAATGTCTCTCCTAGTGTTTCTTCCCCAGCCTTGAGGTCCCTTCTTTGGCTGTGTTGTCTAGTCTTGTGTATTGATGGATGGTGGGCAGAATGCCTCTCCTAGTGTCTCTGCCCCAGCCTTGGCGTTCATTCTTTGGCTGTGTTGTCTAGTCTTGTGTATTGATAGATGGTGGGCAGAACGTCTTTCCTAGTGTTTCTGCCCCAGCCTTGAGGTCCCTTCTTTGGCTGTGTTGTCTAGTCTTGTGTATTGATGGATGGTGGGCAGAATGTCTCTCCTAGTGTTTCTGCCCCAGCCTTGAGGTCCCTTCTTTGGCTGTGTTGTCTAGTCTTGTGTATTGATGGATGGTGGGCAGAATGTCTCTCCTAGTGTTTCTTCCCCAGCCTTGGCGTTCCTTCTTTGGCTGTGTTGTCTAGTCTTGTGTATTGATGGATGGTGGGCAGAATGTCTCTCCTAGTGTTTCTGCCCCAGCCTTGAGATCCTTTCTTGGGCTGTGTTGTCTATTCTTGTGTATTGATGGATGGTGGGCAGAATGTCTCTCCTAGTGTTTCTTCACCAGCCTTGGCGTTCCTTCTTTGGCTGTGTTGTCTAGCCTTGTGTATTGATGGATGGTGGGCAGAATGTCTCTCCTAGTGTTTCTGCCCCAGGCTTGAGGTCCCTTCTTTGGCTGTGTTGTGTAGTCTTGTGTATTGATGGATGGTGGGCAGAACGTCTCTCCTTGTGTTTCTGTCCAACCTTGAGGTCCCTTCTTTGGCTGTGTTGTCTATTCTTGTGTATTGATGGATGGTGGGCAGAATGTCTCTCCTAGTGTTTCTGTCCAACCTTGAGGTCCCTTCTTTGGCTGTGTTGTCTAGTCTTGTGTATTGATGGATGGTGGGCAGAATGTCTCTCCTAGTGTTTTTCTGTCCCAGCCTTGAGGTCCCTTCTTTGGCTGTGTTGTCTAGTCTTGTGTATTGATGGATGGTGGGCAGAATGTCTCTCCTAGTGTTTCTGTCCCAGCCTTGAGGTCCCTTCTTTGGCTGTGTTGTCTAGTCTTGTGTATTGATGGATGGTGGGCAGAACGTCTCTCCTAGTGTTTCTGTCCCAGCCTTGAGGTCCCTTCTTTGGCTGTGTTGTCTAGTCTTGTGTATTGATGGATGGTGGGCAGAACGTCTCTCCTAGTGTTTCTGTCCCAGCCTTGAGGTCCCTTCTTTGGCTGTGTTGTCTAGTCTTGTGTATTGATGGATGGTGGGCAGAACGTCTCTCCTAGTGTTTCTGTCCCAGCCTTGAGGTCCCTTCTTTGGCTGTGTTGTCTATTCTTGTGTATTGATGGATGGTGGGCAGAACGTCTCTTCTAGTGTTTCTTCCCCAGCCTTGGCGTTCCTTCTTTGGCTGTGTTGTCTATTCTTGTGTATTGATGGATGGTGGGCAGAACGTCTCTCCTAGTGTTTCTGCCCCAGAGTGAGGTCCCTTCTTTGACTGTGTTGTCTATTCTTGTGTATTGATGGATGGTGGGCAGAATGTCTCTCCTAGTGTTTCTGCCCCAGCCTTGAGGTCCCTTCTTTGGCTATGTTGTCTAGTCTTGTGTGTATGATGGATGGTGGGCAGAACGTCTCTCCTAGTGTTTCTGCCTCAGCCTTGAGGTCCCTTCTTTGGCGGCTGTGTTGTCTTGTCTTGTGTATTGATGGATGGTGGGCAGAACATCTCTCCTAGTGTTTCTGCCCCAGCCCTCAGGTCCCTTCTTTGGCTGTGTTGTCTAGTCTTGTGTATTGATGGATAGTGGGCAGAATGTCTCTCCTAGTGTTTCTGCCCCAGCCCTGAGGTCCCTTCTTTGGCTGTGTTGTCTAGTCTTGTGTATTGATGGATGGTGGGCAGAATGTCTCTCCTAGTGTCTCTGCCCCAGCCTTGAGGTTCCTTCTTTTGCTGTGTTGTCTAGTCTTGTGTATTGATGGATAGTGGGCAGAATGTCTCTCCTAGTGTTTCTGCCCCAGCCTTGGTGTTTCTTCTTCGACTATGTTGTCTAGTTGTGTTATTGTGATGGTGGGGTAAGTTAGCTGGGGACTGGAGGGCAGCACAAAATACTAGCTCAAGTGAGTAAAGTGGTATAAATCCTACCTTGGGCTACAGGTCGTAGTGTCAGGAAGTTCTGGTGATTACTATGATTCAATGAGGACATTTGGTGCTTGCCTGGTACTACATAGCTCCTATTTAATTCTAGAGGGGATAAACGATGTATGAAGAGTCTCTGACACCTGCGGAGGGGGACAGTTCTGTCACCTTCCTGGAAGAATTTTTGGGATACTGTTTGTTGCCCCAGGAAGCCTGCTGATTGATAAGTCAGGATTGTCTATCTATATGCTGTAACTGCTCATACTGACCCATGTGGAAGAACAAACAGAGGCCGATGTACGAGATATGTGGGCTTCTGTGAAGAGTGTGACTATTTTCATGTGTCCCTCACTGGTTAAAGGCCATCAACACCTTAATACGCATCCACAATCATAGTTTCCAAAGCTGCTCCACTTATTCCAAGCATTAACATTAAATAGTTAACCCATCAAATTAATAAAAATATAAGACCACCAAGTAAGGTAATCCGAAGCACACAACAGACTGCTTTTGATTTCGGACCTCCCTCTACCCTCAATGGACTGGTTTATTGAGGGACACCATAAATACCTATAAGGTGTAAGCAGCAATATATGACATTTTGTTGGGTTTAGATGGGCTTTAATTCTGTGAATCACTGGGGTTGATTTGCTGTATACAAACAGGCTGTTCAGTTTGCAAGAGAAGTTGCACTTTGCAAGGGACTTTTCCCCAGCGCTGGTTTAATGTGGTGAAATTTCAATTTGCACATCACAGGCATGGGAAATGAAAGCAAAAACATGATTAAATTTAGATAGTCGTCGGAGATTCATCTCATACTCTTAGCTCTGGGGAAAATTCCCTTGCAAAGTTCAACTTCCTCTGCAAAGTGAACAGTCTATTTATCTTCAGTAAACCAACCCTACTAATTCCAGGGCAAGCATGAAGATCTGGACATCTGAGTTTCTTCGTTTCATCATCTGTGTTCTTGTTTTGGTGACTCACAATGTAGCCAAACTATTGTGTTGGCGGGAGCACTTACAAGGGGAGATCAGCAATGGCAGCCCCCATGTGACAAGTCTGTTTAAAGGGGCCCCAAATACACCTTGTTATCCTCACCATCTCCTCCAGGCCATTGATGACCATCAGGTGAGCCTTCTTATCCTCACAGTGTTTCTTGGCGTAATTCCAAGGCCGTGCATACCGGGACAGGTAGTAGCAGTTTAGGCCATTGTGTGTCCATTCCGAACCACACAATGGATCAACGGTGCCTGGAAAGGGAAGAGAGAAAGAGTGGAGGAAAGAAATGAGATGAAAGGGAGGGAGAGAGAAAGGGGAAAGAGATAAGGAGAAAAAAAGAAGAGGAAGGAGAGAGAGCGAGAGAAAGGGAAGAAATAGAAGGAGAGGAGAGGGTGAAAGGGGAGAGATAGAAGGAGAGGAGAGGGTGAAAGGGAAGAGATAGAAGGAGAGGAGAGGGTGATTACACTCACATTCATTTGTCTCATTATCCTATTTTAATTTACAGAAAAACTGAAAAGGTCTCGTTATGTTGGAGACTAGTGGGTGGGTTTTCCTCCTGCATCTATATTTTGTATAGGAAGGCCAAGGATAAGTCCTGGACAGGAGATATGTGTCCCGTTTGCATTAAGCTCCCATTAAGGGGGATGACTTGAACACGTATTGAGTACTCAGGAGTTCTCGTACAGTTTTTTCCAGGCTTTCATCCAGCACAAAGAAATTGGGGGCTCATCCGGGATTTATACCCAAAGCAGAGAGATGCACTATAAGGGAATGATTATTGTTTCTGCATATTTACCTGACTGAAGAACATGTGTTTGTTATATGTATAGTCCTGAGAATAAGACATTAGAAAAATGTATACAGAATCACTAAACCTTCCCCTAAAATTTAACATAAAGCATGGATGGCAACTGTTCCTGGATTGCTGTGATGTTCCCACATCTTGGTCCTCTGTCCTGATGATGCTGTGACCTGGACTGCTTCCCAGGATTACAGCATCACCCTTGTTTGAGTATCTGACCATGTACAGTAACTCTGAATATAGGGTATTGACTGAGAGGATCCCAATCGTAAGTGGGTATATTTAGAGTCAAGACCACTGGGAAGGTGGGTGGGTCTGGGTTGTGATGCCCAGAAGGTGGGCAGGTCAATTGAAGGTTGTGGGTGGGGATGACAGTGTGCCGGGAACTGGGGTCTAATGTTTTAGTAAGGCATAATAATTGTGAATAAAATCTGTGGCTCAGAGGGTTTTGGAAAATGAAGGGATGGAGGATAAGTGCGCTGATTTCCGAAATAGGAAAAACATACCATTGTTGTTGCGGAGTCCATCTGTTAGTTTCCCCACTGCAGCCAAAATCCTCTGATTGTCACTGGAAAGAGAACCTGCAACAAGAACAATGCAAGAATCAATATGTCTGCCTTCATTAGTGGGGGCATGGGGGATAAAGAAGAGAGGAACACAAGGAGTGTCTCACAATGTGTGGGCTGCTTGTGGGGGACCTTTAACTTCATCGTGAAAAGCCAACTCTAGGAGAACAGTTTCCATTCCACTCAACATCTACACTGGATGGGTCTGATCTTTAAATAGTCATTTATGAGTTGTATGATTTTCTTCAGGCTGAACAAAATCAACTCACATTCAGGAGAATCAAACATTTTCAGATTCATCTGATTTTATGACTTGCTCATCGTCATTGGTGATGATAAAGTGGAGAGAGATGTCTCCAACAGGGCACAGATAGAAATGAAACTCCCAGCAGAGGTCCTGCTCATTCCTGTCTCTATAAAAAAAGGTGCTTTTATTGCTGTTTGCCTCCCCGTTGGAGAAAATGCAACTCGTTTCCTGGAAGAACTCTCCCCACTGGGGACACTGGAATAAAACACCTATAGAGGACCTAATCCTGTCTCAGAGTTTTGGTTGAAATCAGGCCTCCAAGGAAGATTGCAGCGAGTTGAAGAGCATTCAATTCTCCAGTTTTTATGAATGTTCCAATATCTTCTTCCCAGAAGAATACTGCATGTTATAACCATGGTGGGGAGGGGGATGGTCAGGTGTTTACAAAATGTGGCCATATATCCGTATCTTCCCACTTTTATATACTGTTCACTGTGTATTGATTGCATTGGTTATACCAGTCTTTCTCAACTTTTTTAACATGGAGGAACCCATGATAAAAATTACCCTTGATAAAAATTACTAGCTTGTGAGCAGCTGCATCCAAGCCTTCCATCATAAAGTGCAATGCAAAGAGTCGGATGCCGTGGTGTAAAGCACACCGCCACTGATCTCTAGAGCAGTGGAGACGTGTTCTCTGGAATGACCAATCACGCTTCTCTGTCTGGCAATTCGATGGGCGTGTCTGGGTTTGGCGGTTGCCAGGAGAACGGTACTTGCCTGACTGCATTGTGCCAAGTGTAAAGTTTGGTGGAGGGGGGATTATAGTGTGTGGTTGTTTTTCAGGGGTGGGGCTTGGCCCTCTAGTTCCAGTGAAGGGAACTCTTCACACATCTAAGAGGGGACCCGAGGAGGGAAACCCAAGAATCTAAGTGTAATCATTGGCCATGACCACTGGAATGACACAAAAGTGTTCATGGGTTGGGACCCCTGTATCTTATGTCTGGAAAGTCAAACGCTCACATGCAGAACATTTAATGTGATTCAAGATAATCGGAACCTGAAATGAAGTTCTGTTCTACACAGAATTGTTTGGTCTAGGAGGGCAGAGATCACCCACATAAACAGACCCTTTTCTGGAGTGCTTTCAAAAATTAAAAAAAAAATAAGCAAAAAAAAAAAGCAATGGAATAGAGATTAGTCGAGATGTTCCATTGCCAGAAAAGCATCGGCCTTTAGTAAGAATAGTGAAAATCCTAAGCTTTGGTTGCTATACGATTATTTAGAACTCCTGAAAATGTCCAGCCTCCAATCAGATTGATCCTAAGGAATAAAAGTACAACAATTGTCCTGACACTCAATCAAAAAAGCTCCTAAACAGCCACAAAACACTACTTCCTCCCTAGGAAGTAAATAATCAATTATGTGTACTTTTTGTGATAAACTTCTAAATACACCCAATCTATCTCAAAGATTCAGTAAACCCACATATTCCAAAAGGTGATAATCAAATCTGAACCTAGAATAATAAACCACCCCACCAATATATAATCCGAAATAATCAAATAAAAACCAAAATAATAAAATAACAATAAAATAAAATAAAAATAAAATAAGAATAAATAAAATAAGTGTCCAAATCTCCAAAAAAATATAATGTAATATAAAATAAAATAAGTGTCCAAAATTCCAAAAAAAGTTCAAAATTCAAATTCCTTCACTGAACACAAAAAGAACTTTTTTTGAACTTTTTTTTGGAATTTTGGACACTTATTTTATTTTATATTACATTATATTTTTTTGGAGATTTGGACACTTATTTTATTTATTCTTATTTTATTTTTATTTTTATTTTATTTTATTGTTATTTTATTATTTTGGTTTTTATTTGATTATTTCGGATTATATATTGGTGGGGTGGTTTATTATTCTAGGTTCAGATTTGATTATCACCTTTTGGAATATGTGGGTTTACTGAATCTTTGAGATAGATTGGGTGTATTTAGAAGTTTATCACAAAAAGTACACATAATTAATTGCCCTGACACGCCCAGATGTCAACAAACCACTCCCGTTCACACTGAACTTTTTCCCTGCTTTGCAGATCTGGCCTTCACCATGTCCTGAAATATTGGTTCTTGGGAGGTTTGCATTGGACATATCTAACACAAGCCATTATTCTTACCTGTGATTTCATCCGACAGAAAAAGGTTCACCAGCGACTCGATATTGTTCACTTTACTTGCCACGCCATATTCTGAGGAGAAAGGAAATCAGTCTTTAGTCCTCCAAACCTTACAAATGTTCATCTTCTCAGATGTTTTTTCTGCCCCTATAAACCATTAAACAGGAGGGCTGAGCCATATACTGATCCCTTCCCTCTCCTCATCTCCACGACATGAGGGGGAGGCATTCTGTAGTCTGGCGGGGAAAATAGGACTGGGATCAGGGGCGTATTCACCACAAGGCCAGCAAGGCGTTTGCCTAAGGTGGCATTTTTCAAGGGGGGGAGAGCAGCATGAGGACCATGTGGGTCTGTGAGAGGCTATGGGCTGCTTGGCTGTGTATGTAGACCCCGACTCTCATTCCTGGGGATGTCCAGAGCTGTGAAGTTGAGTGTTTGTCTCTCTCTGGGTGGGGTGGTGGATGTATGGGGGTGGTGGAAGGCTCTCTGTACCAAAACAATAAATAAATAATCAAATTCCAGCAATTTTAACTCCTCCCCCTCCAGAGAATTCCCCCCCTCCCCCCTCCTGACCAAGCTATTTTTGTTCAATACGGCGCTGCATTACTTTAACCAACAATTGCGTGGTCATGCAACGCTGCACCCAAATGAAATTTACGGCCCTTTTCCCCACAAATAGAACTTTCTTTTGGTTGTATTTGATCGGCTCTGCATTTTTTATTTTTTGCGCTATAAACAAAAATTACAAACAATTTTGAAAAAAAAAAATGTTTTTCACTTTTTTCTATAAAACATATGCAGTGAAAAAATTTTTAAAAAGCTAATTTCTTCATAAATTTCGGCCAAAATGTATTCTGCAACATGTCTTCTCTAGAAAGAAAATCCCAATACGTGTCAGTTAATTGGTTTACGTGAAAGTTATAGCGTTTACAAATGGCGGTATAGATACTGGGATTAAAAAAAAATATTTTCAACTAGTAATGGCGGCGATCAGCGACTTATAGCGGGACTGCGGCGGGCATTCTGACATGGTGGGGAACTGAATAACTGCCACTGACATCCCCAGTGACACCAATACAGTGATCACTGCTAATAAAAAGCACTGACACTGTATAAATGGCACTGGGCAGGAAGGAGTTAACATCTGGGGCCATCAAAGGGTTAACTGTGTGCTGTGTTTCTAGGGAGACATGCTGTGCAGAGATACAAAGCAGCATGTCCCTGCTGGCAGGAGAGAGACCCATGTTCAGAGGCGACTGACAACTCATGGGGCCCCTTGGCAATAGGGGATCATGGGTCCCCAAACTCAAAAAAGCCTATGAAAAAGGTACCAGGGGCATCTCATAGGGCCCCCTACTGACCCCGGGCCCTAGGGCAGTGCCCGAGTTTCCAAATGGTCAGTCCGCCCCTGCCCGTATTGTTTGCATACAGACCTCTTGCCTGTCAGTGGTCCTTGGCGATCGCCGGCTGCCGGCAGGCAATCTCCGTCCGGGACCCGGTGATCAACATCTGTAGCCGCCAGTCTCCTACCCATAGATACAAACATGATTTTGCGCAGCCCCGCCGCCCTGTAGCCGTACTTCTACTATAGAGCGGTCGGGAAGCAGTTAATGATACTTAAAGGTCAACATTGAATATGAAAAATCCCCTTAAATAACATGTCTGGGGGGTGCCCTGACCCTGTGAAGGGACACATCTGTACGACGTATACAACCTACTACAGAACAGCGACATCTACAAACAGATAAAATGGGTTTATATTGCAGTGAAATGACAGATCTCGGCCTCTCGGAATTTATCACCAAAGTGGACAGAAATTCTGTTTATCTATACCAGGCCCTTATCCTGGCTCCGGGTTTCCTAGGGGGACAAAAAACACAATCCATACCGGATTTGTATCCTAGCATGCAGGTCAGGAGGGGGGTAGATGAGTGTGTTCTCCCCATGACCCACATTAGGCCACAACGTGGGAGGTACTTGGCCAATGCACCTTGTCCCCATGTGAATAGGAGAAGGGCCTCATCCCAACAAACCTGCCTTGGTGTTTGGGGGTTGGGGCTGTGGATGGTGTGTGGGGGGGGGTTATTGGAATACAGAAGATCCCTTCAATAAATAGTGGGCCCCCAGATTCCACTCCCCCTATCTAAACGAGTATAGAATGCTGTAAGACATACGAAAAAACAAAAAATGACCCATGATGCACACGCATCACCAATCGTTTCAACAGCAATAAAGAGCCAATCACAAAGAACGGTGCCAGCCAATCCACCGAAAGATGAAAATTGTACTAACATGATCTGCCACGTCACTCACAATGACCAAATGACATTCTGGAAGATCAATCCACCACTGCTCAAGGAACATCTAGTAATCCTTGGAGGAACCTTAGGGTTGATGATGTGGTCTGTTAAGAAATGCCCCTCCCCCCTCTTACATTGGTGGTCAGTGAGAAGAATCCATCTCTAAACAGGTCACAACTGTTATCTGTGAAACGAGAGGCTCCGCTGGTGCTGTGCAGTTGGTTCTGCAATTTAACATTGGCCCCAGCAAATTGTAGGAGGGCAATTCACCACTGCTCAAGGAA